GTCCAGGCGGGTCTTGAATATCTCCAGAGAAGGAGACTCCACAACCTCCCTGGGCAGCCTGGGCCAGGGCTCCGTCACCCTCAGAGGGAAGAAGTTCTTCCTCATGTTCAGTCGTGTAGATGAAGCAGAGCCCCAGCTACCGCAGGGTCCAACGAAGCCACCACCGAGCGCCAAGACCTCCCGGGCAGGCCGGAGGGTTAAGGGGTAATTCCGGAGGAGCGATGCGGTCGAGCTAATCAAAGCTGTTCAAAACCCCCCAGCCAAACCCCCACCCTGCTGCCTCCGGGGTGCTTCACCCCCGCAGCGAAGCAGCGCAAAACCCACCCATGCTGCTAACAGGGTCTACATCTGGGTTTTATCCATGTCCACTTCAGTTTTTGGTGGTCTTGATGATACAAAAACCTGGTTTCGTTGCCCGTTCTGTAGTTTGGGTAAATGAGGACTATGCACTGTCTGCTGGAGACGGACTTGAACGCTGGGACTGCAGAGAGGGAGAAGGCTGGTGGCCACCACCAAACCATATCTGCAGGACACCAGAGGCTGAAGGGTCTGGCACATAAAAATAATTACAGAGAATGCACCTTTAAGGTTCTTCTGAAATAAGAAACACCATTTATCTTTTCCAGCAGTCTCCAAAAGGCGACAGCACTGAAGCAAGCCCTCTTTGCACTCCCCCTGTTTGGTGACGTTCTCCCTTACCGCCGGTGACCAAATAAATGAGAAGCTGACCTGCAGCCTGCGCTCAGCACGAGGAGCTCCGTGGACTGTGCTCTGCATCAAATCATTTTCTGTCTGAACCCGAGGAAGAACTTCTTCCCTCTGAGGGTGCCGGAGCCCTGGCCCAGGCTGCCCAGGGAGGCTGTGGAGTCTCCTTCTCTGGAGATATTCCAGCCCCGCCTGGACAAGGTGCTGTGCCCCCTGCTCTGGGTGCACAGCACCCCTCTGCCCCTCGCCCTGCTGCAGGGCCCTGGGGGGGGTCCCGGGCTCGCGCAGCAGCACCCTGACCCTGCGCCTTGGGAGCCTCATGCGTGGGGAGATGCCTTCTGCTTCTTCCTGCAGCCTGAGCCCCTGGGCTGGGCCCAGCCTCACCAAGGGTTATGAAGACAAGTGGATAATTAGTGGTGGCTAATTGGTCAGGCGTTGGCCCAGGCTGCCCAG